GCCCCGCACTAACCGTCGGGCGGGAGCGCACGGACACGCTGGAGCTCCCCCCCCACACACATACTTGGCCCAGGACAGATGGAGGGCCACAGCTGAGCATCCCCTCCTCCATCCCAGCCCAGGCAGGGTGCTCCCCAGGGGTGGGTGCAGGCGGGCACGGCCGAATCCCAGCCCCGAGCTCCAGTGGCTGGCACGGCGCCCTCCGCGCCCTGTGCCGCGAGCATGAGGAAGGAGAACGTCCCCCCCGGGCGGAGCGGGGCGCTGAGCACAGGTAGGCCGCCTGGGCCAGGGGCTACGTGGCTCCTCGCCGTGCTTTGTGGGCGCCCCACGCGGCGTGGCCTCGGGGACCGAGGCTTTATCCGAGCGATGCCGAGGTGGCCGCGTTGGGTTGGAGCCCTTGTGCTGTGGACATCTGCGGGCCTAATGAGACGCCGGCTCCACTAAGCGGGGGAGATAAGCCTCTTAGAGCAACTCAGCTGGGGCACCCAGGCTGCCGGATTCGGGGCATTAAGGGGACAAAGCTGCAGGTTTGTGCTGAGTCCAGGGAAACGGACACAAAGAGGCATTTGTGCCTGTCCCACGGCGCTGGCCAGAGGAGAGGCATGTCCTGCGGTGGCTCTCGGAGTGAGTAGTGTCCGGCACGAGAAGTGGCTCAGTGCAGGAGGAGAGCGTGATTATGATGGCCCCTGCAGCCAGGGGGGCCTGGGATATGCACAGCCAGCCTGACTTCCAGCTGCGAGCGGCTTAGCCTAGCTCCTCCAGGCACGGCCCTGGGGGAGAGCTCCCTCCTGGCCCCTACCAGGTACAGATCCCAGTGCTCTTGGCAGGCTGAGTGTGCGAGCTGCACGCCTGCTGTGTGAGGGACAGGGGAGAGTGTGTGACTGCTAGTATCAACAGCACAGGAAAGTGTGCATGTCTGGTGTGTGCATGTCGCCCTCTTAGGTGTGCAGAGACTACACACTGTAGCAAGTAGATGGAGCAGACAGGAAACCCCTACACCCAACCCACCTGCTGGGTGACCTGTCACTGCTTTATGCTGCAGGTTTCCCACTTGCACAAGGTAACAATTGAACAGCTTTAACCTCTGGAGGATGGGAAAATAAATTCACCTCCTGTGTACATGATTGTGTCATCTAGCGTGGTTTTCTTTTGCTTTGTTGCTGGTTGTGACCTTGGTATTAAACCTGAATTAACTGGAAGTAATCCTATTTCTCCGCCCCCCTCCATTCATGGTTCTGTTTGTTTCCTTGGAGCCTTAGACAATGAGAATAGACCTTTCATTTCACTTTTATTTTCCACTTATTTTCACCTTCAGGAATTTCTGCCTTAGCCCAAGGCTGTGAAATGCAGAGTGGCCGCATTGGTCCTTTAAAATAAAATCGCCTGGCTGTCACTGGTATTAGAAGAAAATATTGTGAATCCCTTTGGTCACAGAGTTAAGTCCGGTTTGACTGAGGTTGCTGATAGGCCGGGACAGGAACAATTGCAAATCTTGTGTCCCTTCTTGCTATTCCAGCTTGCTCAGAAGTGTTCAGGTGAATCTACATTAAGTGCCCAGTGATGTTTCTGAAAGGGTGAATGAACGTGAGTGTAAAAGGCACTGTTTTCTCCTGGACTGGACACTTAGGCAGGAATCGGGTGAAAAGAACTGTTGAAATGAAATCCTGGCTGCGTATGCATGCTTGGCAGCAAGAGGTCAGTGGGATAGCCTCTGTGTGAATGTGAGAGAACATTTGCTCCTAGATTGTCCACCCTACAAGCAGAGGGTTGACGTGAGGTTCAGAGACCGAGGTTCAGGCCTGTTACTCCTGGCTGATACTGAAGGCTGCAAATTCTTTTGTGAAGAGCCGTCATGTTGCACCTTGTGACTTTGCTTCATACAAGAACAGGCGCTGTGGGGAAGGCAGCGCCAATCCGGGAAGTCTGTTCACTCGTTTGATGCCAGGTCCTAATTAATTGGGGGAGGTGGGGAAATTAAATCTTCCCACTGGCAATATGTCTGAGAACATATGAAAGGTGGTAACAGCCATTCCAAGGATCATTGCAGAGCCATAAATGAGTGTCATCTGGGACTTCCATAATCAAGTCTGCTTCTCAGCCTTGATCAGATTAATGGGAGAGTTTCTATGTGAGGACCAGGGCCCATTCTCAATGAGAGAGAGACAACATGCAAAAATTGATCTTAGTGGTGGGCAAGCTGGACCTCTTTCTCGGGAAAAGAGAATGAGATGTGCCTAGTTTGGAAGCTGAGATGCTGGAGCTAAAGCCGATTGATTTTTGCTTTTGTGGATGTCATAAAAAATGCTCTTGGTGTGAACAAGACAATCCCTATTTGTTTCACTGTCGGTGCTGGCTATTCCATTTCTGATTCACCAGGAGGGCTGAATAGGGCTTCTGTGCATGTTTTGCAACATCATATTTCAGCTCACGTTCGCTGCCTTAAAAAAAAAAAAAAGAAATCCAATAGTCAAACTGCTGACTTCAAGCTGTTTCTTCAATTTTCCCCTCCTTGTTTCTGATGCTTTGTCTGGCCTGCCACATTAGCAGTCCTGTGTAGCTGTAAAGGGGTGATTTCCAATCTTAAGCAACCAGCTGTCAGAGAAATGAAAGAGCAGGGACACCAAATTCTGATAAGCATTAGGAGGGAATGGAGAGGAAAAAACATTGATAGAAGGGTGGGATTTATTGCTTACTTGCTTGCAAACACTGGGAGTATGAAAGCATGAAGCTGCCTAGAGCCACGATAGGCTGTCAGGTGTGATTCGGAGCATCCATCCTGGGGTGGGATTGGGACATAGATGACCCAGAGACTAGATGACTAATTAAAGTCCCGGGTGCTTGGTCGTTGTGCAGGATGTCCCTCCATGCATGTAGAACACAGCCAGGACTAAACTGCTCTCTCAATGTGTTGCATCCTAAAACTTCTTTGCAGGGCCATAGCTTGATTGTGGGGCATGGTTACAATGCAGTTCATGTCCATCTGCGCCACAGGACTGACCTGCAGTCTGAACCCCTCAGTCACTGCTGTGTCCCCCAGCCCACTAGCCCTATTGAAATGTAGAAGAGATTTAAGCCCTGCTGACAGAGGTGAGTGAGCAGAAACACTCCAGTTCAAGCCACCCCACTCAAATTGTTTCAACTGAGTCTTGGTAGGGAGATCCCTGCTTCATGGCTGTTGAGCCTAAGCATCCTTAAAACTCAGAGAGCTCC